GGTTGAAGCTGACAAAGAGTTGGTCTGTGTGTGTGTGTGTGTGTGTGTCTGTGTGTGTGTGTGTGTGTGTGTGTGTGTGTGTTACCATGTGTTCTTTCTCTTAGTCTAGACAAACTGAGTGACGTTGTGACGTCTGATGTAAAAGGTAACACCTCCACAGGTGTAACCAGGAAGAGATGAACATTAGAAGATCTGTTCATTATTATAGTAGAAGAAGTTGTCAGTGTTTTTCAGAGTGTCTGCTCAGAGCAGAGCTGCTGTGTTTGTTTGGATTCAGCCTAAGGTCTGACTGAGGCCTGTGTGCTGAGAGCTGAATGAACCTGACTGGAGTCAGAAGATATAAAGTTTCAAAGAATAAACCCAGCTGAATCCTGTTTATTCAGCACAGGGAAACTACCTGATCATTTTTCAGCTCAGGCTGCTGAAATCATTGCTTTAACAAAGGCCTGTGAACTAGGCAGAGACAAACATCACGATATATACAGACAGCCAATATGCTTTTTCCACTCTATTCTATTTTGCAAAGCAATGGGAACGTAGAGGCATGGTGACGTCCACAGGAAAACTTGTGACTCATGCTACTCTAATTAAAGATCTACTAACTACAATCCAACTTCCTGTGGCCTTAGCTGTAGTAAAATGTGCCGCTCACACAAAAGGCACTGATGATGTGTCCAGAGGGAATGAACTGGCCGATGCTATTGCTAAATATGCAGCAGCAGGCCAACATGGGCACAGTAAGTTCCTGTGTGAAACTCCTGAAATCATAAATGAGAAAGTTCTGATTTCTGCCCAGACTGCTCCTGAACAAGAACAACAGTCTTGGGAAAATAAAGGGGGACCAACGTGATTCAAAGGTTAAATCAAGAACTATGATAYAAGTTTGTCTGTCTGTGTATCATTTTTATTAATCATTAATGTTTAATGGAGCGCATTTTGGGCTCTGCTGTGTTCGGCCGCGCAGCACCTCCCCCTGGCAGGGGCGGCTGGGTGGGGTTTTTTGGCCAGGGGCCCGGTCATTCCCCCCTGCCGTAAGCTGTGTTTTGAAAAGGGGGGTATGCGCGGCACAGCAGACTACCCGTTGTTTTTTTTTTTTCATAAAACCCCTGACATCAGTCACTGAAAAATAAGATTTATGACTCTTCAGTTGTCACGGTCTGTCTGTATGGGTGATTTTATTTTGGTTTCTCTTCTGGTTTTCTGTCCTGTATTTCTGTTTTCTTCCTCCTGCCTGTCTTTGCTCCAGCCCCGCCCACTCTCACCTGCTCCTCATGTTTCTCTCCCAGGTGTTTCTTGTTTTAGCTCATTAGTTCTTCTTTATATTCTGTCTTGTGTCCTCAGTCTGTGTCAGAGCTTTGTTGTTCCTGTTCATGTCTCAAGCCAAGCCTAAGTATCTTGTTTGCTGGCACGCCAGCTTGTTGATTTGGTTTAATAAAGCCRTTTGCACCTTTTTAGCCAAGATCATTTCAGTTCTGCACTTGGGGTTCTAACCAACCAAGCCCTTCATAACATCAATCTGACAAACAAGCTAATTTTATYTAACTTACCCCTCTGCAGAGGATGTGTGTTAGCATTCATAATGTGATCATATTTTCGCTGCTGCTCTTCTGCATGGAATGACAGAATCCACATTCTTTCTTAATTTTTGGAAAAATTTAGCTAACTTTGGGAATATTAAGTCTCCTTTTTTCCCTCTTAGATGTAATCTTCTTTGTGTTGTGCCATTATTATTACTTTTTGATTTGCCTACAGCTTTTTCTGTAGTTTACAGACCGGCACACCATGTTCTTTTTTGTAAACAAACRAGCTGCAGACAACAGAAGTGATTCTTCCTCCAGCAGTTCATGTGTTGCATTGTGGTTACAAATGAACATTTACGTGGGTAATGAATATGATGCCATTATTGACATGTGATATTAAAATTCTGCGTTGACTTATTTTATAATTAACACTGTTGATTATATGACTTGTGTTGCAGCCCTGTTTTTTGCTGTTGACAACCCTTATTTTTGATTTAATAGAAATGCTAGTTGCCAATTTAGACATGTCTGCAATGAATTATGCTTCTTAAAGGCAGAGGTTAACCAAAATAAGTATTTTTACTGGTCAGTAACAAAACAGTAATTCATCCATACACCCATTACCTATACCCGCTTCTTCCTTTCAGGGTCACAGGGTCACTGGTGCCCATATCCAGCAGTCACAGTGTGAGGGGCGGGGTACACCCTGGACAGGTCTCAGTCCATCACAGGGCCACACATAGAGACAAACGAGACAAACAACCATTCACTCTCTCACTCACACCTAGGGACAATTTAGAGTTATCAGTTAACCTGACAGTCATGTTTTTGGTCTGTGGGAGGAAGCCGGAGTACCCGGAGAGAACCCACACATGCACGGAGAGAACATGCAAACTCTACCCAGAAAGGTCCCCAGACCGGGATTTGAACTGGCAACCTTCTTGCTGAGAGGCATCAGCTCTACCAACTGAGCCACTGTGCTGACATTGTAATTCATTTAGGTAAAAATTGCAATAAAAAGTGTAATGGTTGTTTATTTAACCTACAAAAATATAATTAGTTTTATTTACTACAGTTATGATAAATGGGCCCATTGTAAGGCAGAAGCTTCAGTGCATTCTTGGCAACATGAAAGTACACTGACATACCTCAGTACACAAGTATTAACTGTGTGGTAACATTATAACTTGTTTATATTAGTTTTAAAATTATTGATTCAGCTCATCATCACATAGATTAATTTTGAAGACCATGAGGGAAAGAAAGTAGATGTATTTAATATTTTTTATATAATTGATTGAATCAATAAAGTGACTTCAACTCTCAAAATGGAGATCACTCTGAATGTTGTCTGCCTCAGTTATAATACTGACTGATCAGGACTACTCTAATGGAAAAACTGTAAATGGTCCCTTTAAATGTTTTATTAAAAGTTATACCTGTGATGAATGCTTCCAGCATGAGGCCCAGCAGCATCTGCACAGCAAGAAGTGCTATGGCACTGGGACAGTCTCCACTGGGGAACATCGTGCCGTAGCCGATGGTCAACTGCGTCTCCAGAGAAAAGGAAAAGGCTGCAGTGAAACTTGTAATGTGTTTCACACAAACTACGTGATCCTGTGGAGGGTGATCGTGATCTTGCACAGCAAGGTCTCCGTTGAGATGGGCCAGTAAGTACCACAAGCAGGCAAACAGCAGCCAATGGGCAATAAAGGAGGCACAGAATGCGAGGAGGACCCATCTCCAGCGCAGACTCACTAATAATCCCCACACATCCTGCAGGGCCAGCAGCCAGACCCTGCTCCAGCTCCCATGCCATGAGTCAGAGGGGCAGGGGGGGAGACTGAGTGCACAGCGTCCATCTTTTGTGACTAAGCGTTGACGAGGATCAGAGGACAAAAGAGGAGATGACAAAGCTTTGCCAGCTGAAACATTGCTGTTGGATTTGGTTGTCATAGTTGTAGGTAGATCTCAAGCAGAGAAACTGAAAATAATCCTGAAAAAGAAAAGAAAATAGATGTTAGTGGTACAATCTTTGTCCTTAAAAGGATAGTCTGGTCATTTTTGAAATGATGTTATGTCTGAGAGATATCAGCCATAGAGCATGGAGCAAGAGACTGAAGTCCTTCTTCAGGCTATTCTAATGATTGACCACATGAGGGCTGTGTAGACCAGTGATTCCCAACCAGGGGTACGTGAGCATATTACAGGGGGCACGTGGAAAAGATTCCCAGGTGTGTAAAAGAATAAAAATAGGACAGATATGTAGGGCACTATGATTTCCACAATGTGGAAAATGCAAACGGCATCACAAAACTAACACAAAATGGAATCCAGTCTAGAACACAGAATCTCATGGAATTTGCTCATTTGCGGTTTTTGATGTATTTTGGACAATACAATTTATTTTGGACTCTGCTGCTTCTTTTACCTGCCATTACCTGGTTTATTTATTTAATTACTTAATCACTTTCAAGGCAATTTATTTAACTTTGTTTAATTTGAGTTGAAAAGAATAAAATGCCTGAGAATTAAACATTCTAGGGGGTTAAATCAATCATTTTCATTTAATAATCATTTGTTGTACATTATAGTTTTGGAATAATCATTACATTTGACAGAGGGGGTACTAGTGGTGTGACAAAATGGCTCAGGGGTACACAAGTCTAAAAAGGTTGGGAACCACTGGTGTAGACATGCTATGTTAACTATTTTAACCCTTTACACTTTTGCGTGACATTTAATTAGTTTGTCGCTGTTTTCTCAAGTAAACAAATGTCAGTGTTACTAAATAAATGTTTCTGTGCTGAACATACATAAACTGATACGTGCTAATTGTGCTGAGATTTCTGAGATTGCTGATTTTATCAGTCTGCCAGATGTTGCAAGATATCTTAGCTCTCAAAGTTTGTGTTGTGATGACAGTCAGCTACTATGACACCAAATTTTAGCCCAATAATTGGAAAACTGATTCTGTTATAATCACATTTGCATTGGCCAATTTCATTTAAAAATGGTTGCATCTTGAATTGCAGTACTTCCAATAGTTAAACAGTTGTATATGCATCCAAATTTGTTTAGCATACTAAATTAACAATTTACAATAAACAAACACATTCCACCATAGCCTAGCACCAATGCCTAACAAATAAGGATTAATAGCTCTTTGAGGGCAACCAGACCATGACAATTTGTTTGTTTCAAATAAATATTCAGTTGAGCTGTTCAATTTTGAACAACAGTAGCGTTATCATGTATGGCTGTGCATAATGATTTATGTTGTACATGATGATCTATGCTGTACGTGATAATGTATTATGTTGTACATGATGACATACGTCTTTAAGGCCATCAAGCAGGAAACCCCCCCTCCTGAGCTGCTGCACTCCTCACCATTGCCTGTTCTCTTTCGTCTCAGTGAAAAAGTGAAGGAGGAGCAATTCTCTCTGCATTTGAAAAGAAAACATGAACAAATTACCAGGAGGAAAACACAAATAAAACTAGTAACAGCTCTTTATTGTCTGCAGCTTGGTTCTTATAGTTCATTTGCGAACTTCATATTTCTTTATAGCATCATTTTACAACATTGGCACTTCATATACAGAAACATTCACATATGTTAGTAAGTAAAAGTTACAGCGGGTAAAATAAGTATTGAACACGTCAGCATTTTTCTCAGTAAATATATTACTAGAGGTGCTAATG